GGCCCAAAACAATGTAGAAATTTAAAACAAAAATATATTTATTCTATCATATCAAATATACATACCTGGTACTTCCAGCAGCAGAAAATAAAGCCCAGCAGCATGAAGGCCATATTGTCGATACTGCACACTGACACTTTTCTTATGGACTGTTTGAACAAAGTGATAAAACAATGCCACCAGTGCCCTGTGAGAAATATTATTCTCAATGAAGAAGGTCCAAATGCTCTGGGGGGCGGGAGAGACATAAAAGCCAAGAATTAGAGAAATGGGAAAATCTCTTGTTATTTGATTTTTGCAAGTATTTAGTACCTTATTAAAAAAGAAAAAAGAACCAACCATCCTGGCTCCTAATTATAAATCTTCAAAGGGACTGAAACAAAAAAATTGAAATGTAGTATTCAAAATTACAAAAATAAATAAATACACAAGAAATTTAAATAACTGGGGCGCCTGGGTGGCTCAGTCGTTAGGCGTCTGCCTTCAGCTCAGGTCATGGTCCCAGGGTCCTGGGATCCAGCCCCGCGTCGGGCTCTCTGCTCAGCGGGAAGCCTGCTTCTCCCTCTCCCACTCCCCCTGCTTGTGTTCCCTCTCTCACTGTGTCTCTGTCAAATAAATGGACAAAATCTTAAAAAAAAAAAAAAGAAATTTAAATAATTAAACTTTCAAAACTAATTTGGGGATAGGTTTGACACATATATATTTCTGAAATTATCATAGCTAAAAATTATACTAATTATGTTAGTGTTTACTCAAACAAGTTACCCCTCTATGTTAAAGGTACTCAAAACCATTTATCACTCTAATTACTAAGTGAAGAAATCAGAGCCATTTACTTAAATTTAAATGCTCTATGGGCCATGGGAGCAGGAAAAGAAATACCTGAAAGTTTCTCCCTCAGCAGATTTCAGAAGTGGTCTAGGTGAGAAAGGAAATACACCCTCAACTACAAACTTCAATTTTATTAATTGTATCATTGTTCCATGTTTTGCCAATTAAACACACGAAGAGGAAATGGGTTATTTCTATAAACCAAACATAGCAGGAACTAAATATGGTTTATCCTGGAATATCTTTAAAAAAAACACAGGCCCATAAAAGTTCAAGAAATCAGACCTTGTACTTTCCTGCTTTCCTGAAGACAGGGAAAGTGGCAGGTAATGCCTTGGCTTAGCCACACTGCTTAGCATGTGCCACTTTACAGAAGAGCCCATTTAGAATCCTGTCAGCACTCTGCATTCTTTCACCATGAAACTTCCAGTAGAAATCACCTCCTACATTTATAGCCGTTACCTCCTCATTCCTAATGCCACTTCAGCTCTACTCCACTCACCTCTAACTGTGACCCTGCAGGTCACCAAGGGTGATCCAATCACCTCTGCCCCATCTTCCTCATGTTGGGACTCTGCCCGCCCACGGTCTCTGCCGCACTTGACACCTGGCTGCTTCCTAGTCACGCTCGCCATACTCTGGCTGCTTGCCTGCAGATCACCCTCAACCAGCTTTTCAGTCCCGTCCTGTCTCTTCTCTTCCTCACTGGTCCCATGCATCGCTGCACTCACCCATCCCCCTGACTCAGATGTCTCTCCTATCTACGTTGTTGAATTTTTACTTCTTTCCTCATCTTCCAATTCACACTGCCAGTACTCTCCCTAAGAATTTCCTAACAGAATCTCATGTTCAAAAGCCTAAACGGACCCTGCAATTTTCCCACTTTACTTAGCTATTAGTTATTAGGATTTTATAACAAATGAACCACATTCTTTATGCTATTCTTATCATACTCCTTATAAAGGGTATATTAAAAAGGTTAAGCTTCAGATTATAATAATGACTTTCATCTTCCACTTCTAACACCTAAAGACAGCTAGCTTGATTTTTAATCTTTTTTTTTTTTTTTTTTTTACCTCTGTAGATCCATGATCTTCAGTAGCAAAGGGGAAAACACTTTCATATAGTTTTGTGAAGGCATTCAATCCAGTCTCTAGGATTTCTGCTTCTATGCTGGGATCCAAAGGCTCAGTCTCTGTGAAATCCAGTTCCCATACTGTGTCCACCCATTCTAGTGGGAAAATGCAATTAAATCAAAACTTTTCTATAACAAGTAAAACATCAATAACCTTTAGACTCTAAGTACATTTAAAAAGAGAAAACTTACTAATCACAAATCACATTTAACTATACAATACAGGTGTAGCATAATTAAAAGAAAGCAGAAAAGGTTAAAAAATCTTTTTTTAAGGGCGCCTGAGTGGCTGAGTCAGCTAAGCGTCTGCCTTCCGCTCAGGTCATGATCCCAAGGTTCTGGGATCGAGTCCCACACTGGGCTCCCTGCTCAGCACAGAGGCTGCTTCTCCCTCTACCCTTCCCCCCTGCTCGTGATCTCTCTTTCTCTCTCTCTCAAATAAATAAATAAAATATTTTTAAAAATCTTTTTTTAAAATCAGAACTGACAGCTGGCTATTAGATTGATCATCTTCTAAAAATATCAAGAAGGAAAACATTTTAGATATGAATGACACTTCAAAACACTGAACGATATGGCTTTCCCATAAATTCAATCTGGAGAAAAAACAGAGGTTAACAAAAGATTGCCTTGGATGTCCCTTTGTGAAAATCTTACAATCAAGTTAATAAACCCAAATACAGTATGCAGCACAAAGGGACATCTGAGGCAACTGACTGTTTAACATGCTTTAATTATTCACTCACTCTTTCCTAATCATTCTCCTAACAAATACAATCCTCTTCCTAAAAATGGTCTTGCATCTTTTCCTGCCTCTTTTTCTCTCATATTCTCCCATTTATCTTATACGCATATTTTTAAATGCATACGAGTATTTACCCAAGTATATACCCACAGATCGTATATCTGTGATATACGATCACAGATACCCAAGTTCCAATGAAAAAAGAAAAGATCTGGTGTCAGGAAATCAATAAATTCAATAAATGATAGGTACTATTATTATTTTTACAATAAATAAGTGTTAAAACAGTAATAGGTATGTAAAACACTAGAGAGCATGATAGAAAATATTATGGGGGAGGTGGGAAGGATGATTCTGCTTCAACTGGACCTAAATGTAGGAGTTTACCAGGGAAAGAAATGCAAAAAAAGTGCATCCCAGACAGAGAGAACAAAGGGAAAGAAAGTATAGCCTGTTTAAAAATGAACAAAACAGTTACAACACTGAGTCTTAGTGTGAAAGGTGAGAGTCATTATTAGTATTTATTCTGCAGTTACTATGTTCCAAGTACTGAATTAATCTTCACACAACTCCAGTGAGGTAGATATTATTATAATGCCCATTTGACATGTAAGGAAACTAAGGTTAAACAACTTGCTCAGTGATACAGAGATGCTAAGCTAAAGAACCAATCCTACTGTTCTGACTCCAAAGGTTATGCTATTGGAAAAGAAGACTGCAGTGAGTGGTGAACGCTCTTAATAGGGCATGCCAAAGATTTGGTCATTTATTTAAGAAATAGAGGGGAAACATTAAAGGCTTAAAGACTTGATAGGTCACGTTTGTGTTTTCAAATGTGATCCTTGTAGAGGTGTGGGGAATGGGCTGGAAGAGTTAGCATGAGAAAGCGGCTAGGATACAGGCTGGTTAGGAGGGCTTGCTGCTGGACAGCAGCATCAGGAAAAGGAACAAGGAGGACCTGCGAGACATCTCTGAGGAGACGACAACTGGTGGTTGTGAGCATGAAAGATGAAGAAAGAATGCCATGACTCCCAGGTTTGTGGATTGGCTGGTACCAATAACTGGCTTTGGTAATCCCAGTTTCACGCATGTGACGTCTGAGGTGGCTGTGAGACATCCATTTAAACCAATAAACACCAAGTTCAGGAAATAAGTGTGAACGAAGAAATAGACTTGCTATTTAAAACCAAAGAAATGGATGAGACTGTCGGTGAGGATTTACAGAATAAGCAAGGGAAGGCCGAGAAAACATGCAAAAGAACTAAAAGAGATCGGACAATATAAGCTCTTTTTTTTTTCCTGTTCCTTTACTAGGTTGAGCCCCTATTCCAGACCCGGCTCGCCAAAGTCCTGGAGTGCACAGACCTGGAGACCCCAGACTCTGCTGCGAGCCGAGCGCCCCACCCCCACCCCAGGCCCGGAAAGAGGAGCACCGCAGTCGCAAAGCACCACAGCCCGGCCTCCCCGAGACTCACGGCCTAGTTTTCTCACCGGGGCTGAGATCCAACGGGCACCAGGGCTGCAAGCCGCTCCCAAGGCCCGGCAGCGCCACCATTATCTCTCAGGAACCGGCTAGCCTCAGCGATGGTCAACTTTCAAAGCTCGCTCCCGCGCGCGCTCCGAGACGTTCCTGCGGACCAATCACAAAGTAGGGAATTTCCCACCGACTAATCATCGCGCCCAGCCGTTTTCACTCTATTAACCAATCAGCAGGGTCTTCTGCCGCATGCGCAAAGAAAGGGGCGGGCCAAGGACTGGAATTGAGCCAACGTTCCACCGGCTGGTTTTTGGGGTTTCCATTTAAAGTGGGCGTCAACAATTAAATTAAAGCTTAATAGCGTCTTTCTCGCCTTATTTTTTTTAAATGGAAGGACACTGTAAAGAGAATTTGAGACAAGATCCTTCCTGTATTAAATGTCACCTTTGCCCCCAGTCAAGCGACGCTTCCCGTGCGTTTCAAAGGGCTACCTTTACCCCGTCAACCACTCGAACGTTGTACTTATTAACGTTTACCGAACTAAAAAAATAAAGGAAAACAAAACAAAGCAAAAGCACCCGAAATGGTATCTGCAGTTCTTTTAATTTTACGGGACGTCTGGCCCCGAACCCTGGAAAAAGGCTGTAACTGCCATGTCAACTAAGGGAAAGACAGGCCGCTCTGTCTACCACTGTACATGCGCAATGAGCCCACCTCCCGGCGGCAGGGTGGCGAAAGCTACAGCGGCAGAGGAGAACGCATGCGTGCGGCGTCTCCGGCGTGTCCGGGCTGGAGACTGCCCCCCCCCCGCCCCCTCCGCACCCCCGCCCGGAGCCGCCGAAGCACCTCCGTGCGTTGCACTGCCAGAGGCCGGGGCTGGCTCGCCGTGCTGCTCAAGCGCCGCACCCCACCCGGTGGGCGGCAGCGGCGACGCACGCCCGGGCCTTTTACTGCCCGCCTCCAATTGCATTGCCTGCCCTAGCCCCTCACTGCCGTCGGCGGCTCGGGCTCGCCCGGGAGTGGCGAGTAGCAGAGCACTGGTACCCAGGGCGCTGCAGCCGGCCCTGCGCCCTCCCGGTGGAGCCGGGAGTCGTGCCGTCGCCCCCCGTCTGGCAGAGAGCTGGGTCCAGCGTCCAGCCCTCCGGCCTTTGCTTAGGGCCCCCACCCCGCAGAGAGGAGCGGTCCTACCGAAACCGGCCCGGTCCGGCCCGGCGGTGAGATGAGCTTCTTCGGCTTTGGGCAGAGCGTGGAGGTGGAAATCTTGCTGAACGATGCGGAGAGTAGGAAGCGGGCCGAGCACAAAACGGAGGACGGGAAGAAGGAGAAATATTTCCTCTTCTACGACGGAGAGACGGTCTCCGGGAAGGTGAGCCTCGCACTCAAGAACCCCAACAAGCGGCTGGAGCACCAGGGCATCAAGATCGAGTTCATCGGGCAGATCGGTGAGTGGGCACCCCGGGCCTCCCTCCCCGGCCGCCTCCGCCGGGCCAGAGCGCCGACTTGGGGGTGGGGGAGCGGGGTGGTTCCGGGCCCAGCTCCGGTGAGGCCTTTCGGAGCCCCTTGTCCACTGCAGTCAGAGGCCAGCCGGCCGGCGACTGCCCCTGCGTTGCTGGCTTCCCTGCCAAAAGTGACAGCGCATCGCCAGGACGGTGGGGGTGGCCGAGGGCCACGGGGAGCATCCCTGCCGAAAGCCTCATTGTTGTGGGCACCTTGCCCTGGGATACCCTAGTTGTCCCTTCGGCGTGCGCTCAGCTATGCTTCCTACCTCCAGGATTTCCGAGCGAGATGCTTCTGCCATAGCCTGCAGGTGGGTTTGTTAGGGGGAGACCTTTCTCCAGTACTGCTTTTGCCATTGTCTGGACATCCACAACTGTCAGACCCAAGTTAAGCTGGTCCTCTGTGCCTCACTTAGTTCACTCCCATCCACCCCCTTTTTCTTTTACATGTGATGTGGGAGAGAGGTCACCACCCTGCTGTCTCACCTTAGCTCTGATCTATCCTTGGACCTGTTTTGAGAAAGAAGCCCTGCAGTCTTCCTTCTGTCTACTTAGCCTGTGTTTCTAAGACTTCTTCATTAGAATGCTAGCTAGTTTCAGTTGACTAATTTTCTCCTTACAGACAAAAAAATGGTCCTTCTAAGTCCAAAATTAAATGATCAAAGTTTCTCAATGCTCCAACAATCTTCAAACATAATTATTAATAATTAAAACTAAGTAAAAGGCAGTAACAATACAGAAGGTTTGGGAGCTGCCAAAGTGGGGTTGTCACTATTTCTAAGACTATTTGAAGTCTTGTGTTTTTAGAAACTCAGGTACTTCTGAAATAAATGATCTTTGTCATTAGGTCAGGAGTAGATTCACGGTAAATACTCATGTGGGCTGAAAAAAACTGGCAAAAGATTCATACCTGTAGCAAAGGCTGCGTGTATGACCCTATTCTTACAGACTTCCTGGGAAAGCTCGTTAAATACTCTCTGTCATATCCTGAGAGTTCAGCAAAGAATCTGTTCTCCTGTTTTACAGGGGCAGGAAACATTGGCACAGGTAGGAGGAATCCTGGAAAAAAGGAGTCTGTGTGGCCAGTGCTCTGGCTGAAGTGTTTGCCTCTGGTATTTGAGAAAATGAAATTAGGTTGAAGACTGGCTGATCATAGAGGAAACCTTTTTGCTATTTTAAATCCAGAATTTGGGTGGCCTTTTATGTACTGGAAAGGGGCTAAAGAGTGAGTTTCATACCCTCTACTCTCCCGCCTCTAGCTTGAATAGGGTTTCTTAACAGCAGCACTGTTTACATTTTGGGCCTTAGATAATTCTTTGTTGTCTCAGGATTTTTAGCAGGATATTAACCTGGCCTTGACCCACCAGATACCAGAAGCACCCCCAAAAAGCACCCCCAGAGATGTCTTGAGATATTGCCTTATGTCCCCTGAAGGGTAAAATCACCCCAGTGAAGGACGACTGGGTCGATAGGATGAATCCAAAGCATTTTATGCTAAACATAATGTACGAGATAGTTGAGAAGTACTTGCCTCCTTAGTAGTTTTAAAGTTTTTGGATGGTTTCTTTGGCTCTGTAATACAAGAGTATAAACAGGCACATTTAGTCTGTGTCTTTACCATCACTCCAGGTGGTCGTGATGCCTCATCAATACGGGAAAGATAACCAGAGTGACCCCCACCCCAGCAGTGTGAAATAAGCTGTTCAGGAATGGAGTCAAAGCCTCCCTCTAGTCTAAGTGAAAGGGAAGTTGAAGGAGCTACTAGTTTATCTGTCCTTCCTGGTTTCTTGTCTAACTCCTTGAATCATCATCCCTGCTGGGTTTTCTCCCAACCATTTAGCTTCCATTGCTAACTCTTCCTGAGCCTCTGAGCACTGTGGACTGTTGTTGACCCTGTGACTTTGAGGAAGCTGTATGCCTCTCTGGGCCTCAGTTTTCTCACCTATACAGCAGAGATAACAAAATCACCTGTGAGAATAATGTTGAGCTGTCAAGGGATAATGCTTCATGCAGAGTATGGTCTATCTGTGTCAACAGTCGAGTGATCTGAGAGCACCAGAGCGAGGATAGTGAATAACTTCGCCAAGGTTGTGGTAGTGTGGTTTTCTCCTTCACTGCAGTCTTTGACTATGAATGAAGTGGGTGGAGCTTTGATCTGGCTCCTAGGTCTGGCTCTATGAATGATGTACAGTATAGGTCTTGCTGTATGGAAGTAAGAAAGTTGATATCATTGTGCCTTGTCCACCTTCCTCATTGAATTCCATTTTAACTCAAAAATGTTCTTATAAACCATAGTCTCTTGGATTTGGTTCTTTCTTTTTTCCTTCCCTCCTTCCTTCGTTTCTTTTGGGGAACAGTTCCACAGCTTGAAAATCAGGTGCTTTATGTAATTAACCGTCTTATCCTTATGATTGATTTCTTTTTCCTCCTGATGAAAGTATATTTGTCCCACTTGTGTATTCATTAGAAGGACAGCCTGGTACATGATTGAGGGTCATGCAGACAGGGTGACTTAAATTAGATAGGGCTCAGTTTGTAATAGCACAGTCTTTGCTAGAGTCTTGTGAGGACTGGAGATAATATATGTGATGTGCAGGTCTTGGCACACATAATAGGTACTCTGTAAAAGGAAGTTGAGATGATTATTGTCGTTTTCTCTTTCCCTGTTAAGCTTGACCCATCAAGAAGTTTCCAGGCACTAGATGTTTAAAACATGTCACCTTGCAGTCACCCCGATTCCTGTGCAGATGGTCCATGGGGAATGTTTGGACCAGGTTAAGCTTCCCTTTGGTCTACTTGTCTGGCTTCCCCCATTGCCTTCCATCGTCTTCTCCCGAACGGCATATTAGCCCAAGTGGAAACCTGTGAAAGGGTCTCTACACAGAGTCCTTGCAGGGATAGCTGTTTGGCTTTCTGTTGCATTGGACCTCTCTGGACCCCATTCCTCATAGTGGCCCAGCCCCTGCTCAGAAAAGCTCCTGTTTCAGTCTTGGTTTTAGAGGTAGGCAGGGACAGGGGTAACTTTTGTTTCCTGTCCCTTCTCTATAACTTGCTCTGGCAGTCTCATCTGCACCCATAACTTCTGCGTCTTTTTATATTCTGATGACTACCAACCTCTTTCTTTGTCCTGACGTGAACTCTCTACTGAGTTCCATGCCTGTGTCTCCAACTGCCTGCTAAGCACCTCCACGTGGATACCCCACAGGTCCCTCAGAAACACATCCAAAACAGAAACCTCGTTCTTTCTCTGCTCCAGCCCCAGACCTGCTTCCTGTCCTGTCTGCTCCACTGTGGCCTATGTCACCTGCATCCATTCAGCCTCCAAGATCTGGAAGTCATCTGAGACTAAGTCTTCCTCCCGCACGCCCAGTCGGCTCTCCAACAGCTCTCCAATACGTCCCCAGTCTGCACTTCCTCTTCTTGCCAACACTGCTGCCTTCATTATCTCTTTCTGTGGCCACCTCCTAACTGGTCTTCCTGCCTTTGCTTTCCTCGCCTTTCAGTTCATCTTCTGTAAGAGTGAACTTTCTAAAAGGCAGTTCTGACATTGTCAGTCCCCTCCTTAAAATTCTGCTCATCAACTTCCTATTGGTTAAAGGGCAAAAGTATACCCGGCTCCTTCCTGAGTAGCCCTACCTTTCTCCCGAGCCTCATCTCTCCCTTTCCCTTAACCCTCACCTCTTATAGTTTCCTCAAAATACATTCCTTCTAGAATCTTGGTATCTTCCCTTTGTATGGGAACATCTTGCTGCAAGATATGACCTTGCACTCAAGCTCTTACCCATTCTTAAAGTGCCCAGCAGACATGGTATCCCTGACAGCCTTCTCCAAGCTCCCCAGGCTGACTCAAGCCCTTCCTCCACTGTTCTTCCACAGGCCTCATTAGTACCTCTTTTCAAACAGGATGTGACAAACTTGTGATTTTTTTTTTTCCTCTGGTCTGCTTTCCTGAGTCCCTGAAAACCAGGGACTGCCTTCAGTCCATCATCAGTGTGGTGGCTTATCTCTAGTCTCAGTGGCTAACACAAAGTAGGTGCTCAATAAATATTTGCTAACTGGTTATGTGGTCAGATCTAGGAATTTACGGGAGCTGTTCTCTGGATTTTTTTCTCAACCCCTCCTAGATAAACCAGAGTTACTTGAATGAAGGAAAGGGGGAGTGCAGGTTTGCTTTGCTGCTTACTGTGAAGAGGGAGGGCTTCCTGCTGGCACTTGGGGCCGAGGCATTGGTAAGCGAGGTGTGGCCCTTACTCTATGCCACTGAGAACTAAGATGACTCACCAACCAGCAGGCACCAGAGCACAGCCTCTTCCCTGAGGGAACTAGGGCCCAGAAACGTTAAAGCTGATGTCGGTTCACTTGCTGTTGCACATTTCTTTGATCACACTTTCTTATGCCAAGTTGAGGATGATTTCTCCCTGTATATAAGAAAATAAGAGTTGTCAGACCTGTGATTCACTCAGTTCTACACCAACTACTTGGATGTTGCAGTTTAAGTGTTGCCCCCTGAGAGTATAAGAAGGTCTTATTTATTCACCTGTGTTGTCTGTGTTTTCTCTTACTCTCAGTAAGTTTTTGAGCCACGTTGGGTTTCTTCCTGCAGCACCTAGATTGGTTTTTCCAATGGCTTGTTCTATTGTAATAAAGCCAACAATGTATGGGGAGGGCATCTCCCATGTCACTCTAGCATGGGATGGCCTACATTTTAGAAAAATGTAATGTGGTATATAAGAAGCATGGAGGGAAATTTTTTAATTGTTAGGAGAGACCATTTTTCAGCTGGATTCATTTGGGGAACTGTAATGCAAGATATAAGGTAGAGCTGGGCCGTCTTGGAGACTAGTGGGGTTAAATAAACCAAAGGTAATTAGAAGATCAAACTTACAAAGACGGGCGGATATGAATACCCCTGTCCTCCAAAACCAAATAGATAATAATCTGGATTTTTAAAAAAGTTTTTAAAAGTAACGCCACTGGGGGCGCCTGGGTGGCCCAGTCAGGTAAGCCTCTTGCCTTCTGCTCAGGTCATGATCTTGGTATCCTGGGATCCGGCCCCACTTCCAGGGCTTCCTGCCCAGCTGGGAGTCTGCTTCCTCTCCCTCTGCTTTTCCCCCCAACCTCCGCCCCACTCTTGCTCTCTCTATCTCAGATGAATAAATAAAATCTTAAAAAAAAAAAGTAATGACACTGGACGGATCTGAACCCATCAGTACCAGCTAAGCCTGTACTTCTAAAGATTTTATTTACTTATTTGAGAGAGAGTGAGCGAGAGAGAGAGAGAGCACAAGCTGGAGGGAGAGGGAGAGGGAGAAGTAGAGTCCCCACTGAGCAGGGAGCCTGAAGTGGGGCTCAACCCCGGGACCCTGGGGTCATGACTTGAGCTGAAGGCAGATGCTTTTTTTTTTTTTTAAGATTTTATTTATTTATTCATGAGAGACAGAGAGAGAGAGAGAGAGAGGCAGAGGGAGAAGCAGGCTCCCAAGGAGCAGGGAGCCCGATGCGGGACTCGATCCCAGGACCCTGGGATCATGACCTGAGCCGAAGGCAGACGCTTAACCATCTGAGCCACCCAGGCGCTCTGAAGGCAGATGCTTAACCAACTGAGCCACCTAGGCACCCCAAGCCTGTACTTCTAAAAACTCCAGAGGCTTTCTGTATTTTATTTCATTAACCCATAAAAATCTAAGTAAAAAGCACATTGAGATTAAATGCATTGATTGTGGCCTATTAGTGAGTTGTTGCAGGGCTCGAGCAGAGCTGCATCTTGCTGGGGATGGGCAGCCCAGAGGGGTTACTGCTCTAGCAAGTGTTCCAGGTTCCAGGAGATCTGAGTGGATGTGGCCAGCTTGAATCTTGATGGGGTTGCCAGTCAGCAGATAGTGGCTGGGAAAATCAGGACGGTCTCTTTGGAGGTCTTTTTGCCCTTGCTGACTTAATGTTTCTTCTAAGACCTGCATGAAGCTTGGACCAAATGTGGCCCCAGCCCAGTAGCAGGTCTCAGGCTGTCTCTAATGATGAACCTGTGAGGCAAAGCTGGCTCAATTTCCTTCCAAAGTGGCAAATTCACTCCTCAGCCGTTGGTGGCAAGTTTCATCATGAAAACATCCTGACTACAAAAGTCACTTCCTCCCGTTGGAATCAAGAAAGAGGCTCAAGACGGGGAAGTTACCTTAACAAAAAACATGGTCAGTTCCTACTTCTAGCTTGAGATGCTTGGTTGCTGAGGGCTTTGGAGGTTGGGGAGAACCACAGATGACTTGTCATTGCATCTTTGGGATAGAATATTGGCAGTTTATAGCCTTTTGATGGCCCAACCTCTTGTTAAAACAGCCTTGTAGTTTCTGTTCTAATTTATGTGAGAGAAAACCAAACTTTCTGGCAAATAGCAAAGTATGGCTGCTATTTCTATCCCTTTGCACCACAGTGTTTGCAAGAGCATTGCAAATGGCATATAAATTATAAATTAAAAAGCCCAGTCCAGCTCCACTCAGGCTACACACTGCCACTCTTCTGTGACATTTAATGCCATGTGTCCCAGAGGAAAAGCACTAGGGAGAACGTGATGCTATGCAGGAAAGGTGCCAAAGGTGGCCACAGCCAGGTGCCCCTGCTGGGTCAGGCATAACCTTGCTAGGATTCTCAGATGCTGGCCGTCTGCGTGCTCTCTGAGCGCTCTTGGGTCCTCCTCTGTTTTGTTTCTCATGTTGCCTTTGGTATGTGTGATCACAGTTGTGTATTTTTCCATCTTTCTCTTTCCATCTTTTTCTTGACTCTGGGATTTCTCATTTAAAGTTCATGGACATTCGGGCCATGCTCTGCTTTCTTCTGTCACCTGAAACTATGGCCAGAATCCAGTGCTTGGGAGCTAAGACACCAGGTCCACCAGTTCAGAGGTCACTTGCCACATAGGTGTCAGGACCATCAACAAGGACTTATGTAGCAATTGACCAGTGAGAGTTAAGTGAAGGAGCCCTTGTTACAGTGGTTCTGTTCCTACCTGATCACTGCACTTCCTTACAGTTATTGGGGGACATAGTTATTGGATTTTAAAATAGAAACAATGAATTGCTCACCTTTCCCTGTCCTTTCCCCCTATAGGTTGTAAGTGTGGTCTCCCATTTAGCAATTTTGGGATTATTACTCACTACCCAGAATGCTGCCTGCTACTGATTCCATTTAGTATTTGGAAGAGAAGGTGGTTGTAATATAAAGTGGATTAAAGTGTAACTGTATAGGAAATCCGCAACAAACTGTAATCACAGAATACAATGTAAATTCTTACAGAAGTGGCAGCACTAGTTTGGGATTAAACCACACTAATGCCACCTTCCTGAGTTGGATGAATCTTAGGACAGAGCCCACTCTGCTTTAGAATGCTTCCCTGTCCGGGGGGGGGGGGGGGGGGGGAAAGGCTCCCTATGGAATAGGCTCGTCAGGACCAGCTCCTAGGTCAGCAAGGGGTTGATTTTGTACTCAGACTGAAAGCACTACTTGAAACCATTTTCTCTTTCTGGGCATGGTTCTCCCTGGGGGCAGGGCTGGACACTGCATTTCTTGGGCACTTAGCTGTAGTCCCAATTGGGGCTCAGACCTTGTGCTGTCTGAGGTGGACCCACCCAAATGCAGCTCTGCCCCATTGCCCTGAGCCCAGGTTGTCCTTGAGAGAGCTTGCCTGCTGTGCTCTGGAGATACGGGAACTGGCCTAGTAGGCTGTTGTCCTGGACACTCCTCTCTGTGGGCCCGTTTCTTTGTCCCCAAGCAGCCAACAGCAGTAGTACTGAGTGCACTCTACCAGATCTATTTCCTCTGTTGATCTACCTTGTCTCAGGTTGTAGCCTTGCACAGGACTGGAGCCCAGAAATGCCCGACGGGTGGTACCTTGACTATAACGTGGCCATGTAGACTCACAGTCAGTATTAAGTGTTCCCTCTGCACGGCCAGGTACTGAAGGGGTGCCAGGAACTAGGCCTTAGCTCTAAAGACCATGCATCTAGAAAAGTTAATGCTTAAATAGCAGAGTACAAATAGGTATAAAATAATGGAGGATAAATTGATGGCATAAACTCATAATTAAGTTTTGAATGCCAGAACTATTTCCAGAGGAGGATGAATTTAGAGCAATGCTTCTCAAAGTGTGGTCACTGGACCAGCAGGACCAGCATCCCCTGAGAGCTTATGAGAAATACAGATTCTTGGGCCCAGACACTAGGGCCAGGACTCAACAATCTGGTTTTAACAAACCCTCCAATTGATTTTGGTGCTCACCGAAGTTGAGGAACCCCCTTTATTTAGATGGAGGGAATAACACTAAAACGTCTGCGTCAGATTGGCCATGTGGATTCCTCTTTGAGGGATCATAACAGCTAGCAGCTAATATGTTTTGAATATTTGCTATCAACTGGGTACTATTCTGAGTCCTTTACCTGCATTACTCCCTCTAATTCTTGCAGAACCTTACAAAATATAATGTTCTTACTCCCATTATACCAGGTCATAGAAATAGATTCATTCTAGCAGGAAATCTGCTCTAATCTCAGTTCTGCAGCCAGCAATGAGACTCTAAGCCAATCATTTGACCATGCCATGCCTCAGTTTCTTTCTGTTAAATGGGTAACAAGGCCTGTCCTAGCTTCTTCAGAAGGTTATTATTAGGATATGATTAAAGAACTATGAACATGCCTTCAAAAGTTAGAAATATTTTTAGAAATGTTTTTAAAGCAATGTAGTATTTTTGATAGCAGTTCCCCTGATGTATCTCTCACTAAGGTACTGCCCTGATATGCTGGAGCCGGTTATATTGGGTTTTTACTGTGCCACTGGATTCCTCTGTATAAAACTGAAATGTGTAGAAAGTGTGGGAAGGAAGGAGATCAGTATATGGAGAATGCAGTGAAGGAGTGAGATTAGGAAAAGAGAGGGAGTCGGAAACAAGGGCTAGGGGAAGTTTGTTTTGGGGGGAGTTCTCTCAGAAGAGGGGATCCTGCATCCTGGAGCCTCCTTGCTAAGCCCCATGTAGCTTGGGGTCTGGTAGTAGAGGCTGATGCTTTCTCTCCAGAGCTCTACTATGACCGCGGGAACCACCATGAGTTTGTGTCCCTGGTGAAGGATTTGGCCCGGCCCGGAGAAATTAGCCAATCACAGGCCTTCGACTTTGAATTCACCCACGTGGAGAAGCCGTATGAGTCATACACAGGCCAGAATGTGAAACTAAGGTAAGTTGTGCCTGCTGTTTCCTCATCTTCCCCTGAAGCTGTCCACATTTCTGAGGTTTTTTACATGGGTATCAAGAAGGAAGAGAGCTTGAGAGCCGGTGGTGTGCTGGTAAATGGTTAACAATGGGCTCTCTGGGAAGAAAAGCCCTGGTTTTTCAGTTTCTGAAAACTGTCCGTTTCTGTAGTGTAAATATTCCCACCACGGCCAATATCAAGCTCCCAACCTAATGTCCCTGATTACAGAGTTGGGGAGAGATGTACAGTAGCCACCTTGACATAGCTAGATATAAATTCCCGCAAGAGCAGAGAGAATTGTAAAATGTAGCAAAATTATTAGGAAGCAATGAGTTTTTAGTATGTATTACCTTTGTTTTTCATATAACCTTAATTATAAGTTTTTATAATTTAAAGTAATTGCTATGTTTAACAACCAGCTTTTTAAAATTCCTGAAGATTCAACAGTAAGCTTTTATACACTGCTATGTGCTGTCCCCAGCATACCATGGGCTGCACATCAGGACGTACAGATCCTCAGTCCAGCTCTGCTATACAACAGCGATGTGATCCCGAGCTCTGTCACTGAGCTTTCTCGCTTGAAAAGTAGAATAGATTTGGATTCTAGTTCTAGATCGGTCCTCCCTCTTTTGGGGTGATGGGAGCGTAAAACATAACACAGTATGACGAGTTTTTAAAAAATTAACACAGTTTAAGTACATATGACTGTTTTTAGTGTTCCAGTTTCTGAGGATGGAGACTGATTCCAAGGCCTCTGGGGTAAAAAAAAAAAAAAAAAGATCCAGAGAAGCTCTAGACTCCTGGATATAACCTGAGATTATGTGATGTCACTGAGATAAAGCAGACTTCCTCTGTCACCCTGGTCACCTGGTTCTAGGTCTTGATGCTATCTTACAAGATCAGCTCATCTTCATCACCTGCAGGCCTGGTGGTCCGGACTGCAGCAAGACCTTTCCTCCCCTTCTCTTCTCTCCCTGGTCTCCCCTCTTCCATCAGAAGAGTGATTGTAGGCTCTTCTTTTTCAGTCTTTGCAGAGAGATGTAATCACTGACATTACTCAAACTAGAGACAGCATTTCATAATTGCACTCAGAAAAAACTTCACAACTGTGAGGATTATCTAGTTGTCACCAAAACTTGACTGTGGGATTTATTACTATTTAATTTTATTTTTTACAGTGGATTACTCTTAAATGTTTTTAAGTCAGAGAGAAAGGTGGTGATTCCTCAGAATATTAAAAATAGAATTACCATATGATCCAGGAATTCCACTTTTGGGTACACACCCGAGAGAAGTGAAAGCAAGGACTCAAACAGAGACATGTATACCCACATTCATAGCTGCTTGTTCACAGCAGCTAAAAGGTGGACCAACCTGAATTCCATTAGCAGATGAATGGGTAAATAAAATGTGGTATATACATACAGTGGGCTATTATTCAGCCTTAAAAAAGGAAGGAAATCCTGTCATATGCCACAACATGGATGAATGCTGGAAGCGTTATGCTAAGTGAAATTAGCCAGTCATAAAAAGTCGTGTATGATTTCACAACAATGTGAATGTACTTGATGCCACTGAAGTGTATACTTAAAAATAACTAAAATGTTAAGTTTTGTTATATATGTTGTAGGTGGGAGAAAACCCTTTTTCCTCTATCCACCTTAGGTTCGTTGGCTTAGGCCCTGCACATCAGACTGACAGAAGACAGGCTAGCAAGAGAAAGGCAGACCGGTTGACTCACATGTGTGTTGTTCATACACATGGCACTCAGGGATTGGTAACGCAAAGGGGTGGTTAGGACTTGGAGCTTATGTAAGCATCTTAACAGAAGAATGGTAATTTTACAGAGAAGTGACAAGACAAAGGAAAGGGACTTTGAGCTTCTAGGGACAACAAGTTGTAGGAAGGTAAATATATGAGAGAAACAAATGGAAGGTAAGAATCCTTTTAGCAAGATTTGTTATGTGGATTTCTCTAGTGCAGTCTCTGGGCTGGTAGCAGTTGTCTCTGGCGAGTAAGAATGTCCTGCTCTTCCTGGTAGAGGGTGGGGAGGGCAGAGAATTTTTCTTGTGTCTGCTTCTTGTCAGTTGCTTTCAGCTCAATATAATCGTTATGCCAGAGGGGCATATTTTGGGGTAGTATACTCTGAACTTCTATATTTTACCACAAAATAAATAAATGAATAAAAGAGAAAAAGGTGTTGCTGTCCAATTAGATGAAGACATTAGGATTCATGTTGAGAAAGTGAGGGAGATCAAGAAGGGAAAATTAGTTAAGGGCAGCTTATAGACGTCAATTGCAGATGAAGGGCCTGTATCTTACTGCTTAGGCAGAGGGGAAACATGAAAAGATCGCTCTAGACTCCTCTTTCTTTGTTTTTAGGTGGGGGAGTGGTTCTTTTGGATGGTTAATATAAAATCAACATGTCCTATTTGATGAATGGGTAGAGTGCAGAGACAAAATTGTTGGAAGACTAGTCGAGGTCCTGAGCGTCTTACCTCAGTGGACACTTACGTAGTGGACACAGCAGGAGTGGGGAGCAAACGAAGAGTTTAACAGACAGCAGCAGAACTCACCAGTGAATGTAGGTGCAGACAGACAGCTGTCAGGAAGAAGGGATGGTTTGTAGTGAAGATGATTCATCCAATTTAACGTCTAAAGCACTGGCAAAATAGAGAGGTATAAAAGTTCACTAGACAATTGGAAATGCAAGCCTGGCACTCAGGACAGAGAAATGCACTGTTGGGGAATCCTCTGCTCACAGGTAGAAACTGGTACATTTTTCAAGGAGGAGAACTGAGGGAGAGAAGAGCCCAGGCAGGACCTATTAGAGGGATAGGAAGGGGGGTGGGTGAAGCAGGTAAAGCCCTCCTGTGGAACCATGGGAAGAGCATTTCAAGAAGGAGGAGGAAATGTTTTACTCTCCAGTGTCAAAACTGAAGCTGAAAAAGCAAGGCCACTGGGTTTGGCAGCAGGGAAGAAGCTGTAGTGGTTAGGACAGGACCTCAGCGACCACTGTCCCTCACGAACAGTCAGGGATGCAAGGCCTGGAGAGTGTTTTGGGGATTGAGGAGTTTGGGCCTTGGTATAAACTCAAAGGAGGAAGCCTTTACTGGAGAGAGATTCTATATGTTAAGGAAGTTGGAAAACTTGAAGGATCGAGATGCCAGGCAGTAGTTCTCTGCCAAAGCTCCTGTGCTAGAATCACTTGGGAGGCTTCGGACGATGCTGATGCCTGCGTACCTCTGCAGAGCGGTTAAATGTCCACTCTGCTTGGGCATCTGGATTTTGGAAGCACCTCGCCCCAGGGTGGTCGTAATATGCACCCAGATTGAAAGTCATTCTGCCAGATGGAGGAGGAGAAGGGTCTTGAGAGACGGAGGTGCTGTTGGAAAGAGGAAAGGTTGGGCAAAGATACAGACGCACATTTAGGGCCAAAGTAAGAAACAGCACCAAGCAGAGAAGAGAGAGAATTAAAAATCTTGACTTGGAAGGCCTTCCTCTTCTCAGTAGAGTAAAAGCTATGTTTTCTACAGAGAGGGGAGAGAGGAGGCTTGAGAGCCTGAGCAATTAGAAAAGGGTTAGGAACAAATTAGTGTCTTGGAGAATGTGGCAGAAGTTACTGAGATGAATAAAAGGATTGCTGAGCATCGGTCAGGACCACACAGAGGAGAGGAGCCGAAATGTATCATTGATCTGGTTGGCAGCTTTCTCCGGGAACAGTGCAGATTATCTACGTTTTGTTTAGAAGAAAATATCATTAAGAGGGTGTTCCTCCAGTCACTGGGTATTAGCATAGAGTAAGTCAAGGGGACAAGGATGCTGGGATTTGGCCGTGCTTGAGCAGCTGACCGGAGGGTCGGGCTTGGCACGCTAAGCCCTTCAGGGGCTGTGTCTCTGTCTTCTTCCCCACTTGTCCTCTACCACAGCAACACCTCCCCAGGGATCCAGGGTTCAGCCAGAGACTTTCTTTGTTCAAACCAGGACCTCTCCCACCTCTGCTGCTTTACTTATAAGGTCTGCTCTGCCTGAGTGTCCTTTTTTCTCTCCCCATAGCACTTGATTGCTCTACCTAAATTAGCACTTGCTCTGTGTTCAATTATTTCTGTTTCTTGGCCCACCTTCCCCAGCGGACTGTGAGCTTCCCATAAGACTATATCTTATTCATCCTATGCCTAGCAATAAACATTTGCTGAATGAAGAGCTGACTTACTTTCTCCATTCCCTATCCCTCCCGTTTAATTTGAGGGACTTGGAAAATGTGTAATGGATTGAATATTGTTAAATAAACAGGCATGCAAATATAAGAATGTAAGACAGATCCCTGTGCCTGAAGACCCAGGAGTTAGTTGAAGAAAAACCCGTACAAAAATACATGGTAGGCAGTGGTGAGGGGCATGAAAGGCATTAGGATAAATTGCTGTGGGAGTATAGAGCAGAGAAATCACTTTTATTTGGGGCAGTGCTCTGAGCCGAGAGGATGGACTCGAAAAGGTATTTGGGGGGAAGGTCTTTGAACTTCCTGGAACTGTAGTTGCGAAATTTTATGCGTAGTGCATATGTTCATTTTTTTCTGGGAGGAGGGTCCACAGGAGTAAATTTTCAAAGGAATACAAAGCCCCAAAGGTTAACCACCATAAGGGCTTCTCTCCACTGGGTCTATTTGGTGCATGGATTGAGGCAGCATGTGGAGACTGGGAGTGTTCCTTCACGACACATCCATCTCCTACAGGTATTTCCTTCGAGCCACCATCAGCCGCCGCCTCAATGATGTCGTCAAAGAGATGGACATTGTAGTCCACACACTCAGCACGTACCCAGAGTTGAACTCCTCCATCAAGATGGAGGTTGGGATCGAGGACTGCCTGCACATTGAGTTTGAGTATAATAAGTCCAAGTAAGTATCTGGGGCCCCACGGTCATGGAGAACTATTGAGGGAGGTTAAGATAGGACCTGATGAGAATACAAGCGGGTGGAGCCTTGGCTGGCTCATCGTGCCAGGCTATAGGGGAGGCCACTGACCTGGTACTGTGAATATATCTGCTGAAAGGTAGACCAGGAAATTAAACTTCATTTTACTTAAACTAAACTGAAATTAAGAAGGTACTACATTTAAGTTAAATATCCTGCATTGTCTTTCAAGGTCAAGCCAAACTGAGGTTATTTGTTTTGGTTGTAGATACAGCTCTTTCCTTCTGCTGGTGAGAATAATCTCAGAATACCATTCCTGTTAGCATTTGTATCCTATATACAGTATGTCTCTTAGAAATGAACATGAAGAAACCATGCAACGGCCATAGTTTGCTGCTTCCTCCTGAACTTAAATGAATTATAGCAAAGAACATCTGATGCCTTTTTGTAAAGGTCTTTAAATTATTCTAACTGGCAAGTTGGGAAGCCATGTACTTTTTAAACTGTCTGTTGTCTGAACAGGAACATATTTAAGTGCGGGGCGCCTGGGTGGCTCAGTTGGTTAAGCATCTGCCTTCAGCTCAGGTCATGATCCTGGGGTCGAGCCCCGTGTCGGGCTTCTTGCTCTGGAGGGAGTCTGCTTGTCCCTCTCTCTCTGCCGCTCCCCCTGCTTGTGCTCGCTCGCTCCCTCTCTCAAATAAATGAATTTTAAAAATCTTAAAAAAAAGAAAATATTTAAGTGCTTACAAATCACGAAACTTACTGACACTTCAAAAATGTACCACAAGCATCTTTCTTTTCAGTATATAATACATTCCTAAAAATGTTTGAAAATCAGATATGCAAAAGTAAAAGTGTATTCTATTCACAGAGAGCTAAAAAAAAGAAATTAGAGTCTCTAGGGTTCTTATCAGGGAGACGCTCATATCAGACCCACTATTATCCAGGAGGTCAGATAGTGGGGGTTAGGAACAGGGCTTTTTTAAAAACTAGCAATATACATGTTTCCTAGAACAGGGGTGAGGGGAAAGGCCTGTTTTTTCCCCTGCTCCTGGCCTGGAACCACTCGTGACCCAGAATGGGCCCTGCTTGGTGAGGCCCCACCTATGGAATGGGGTAGGGTGAGCTGGAAGGGAGGTTAATCTGGGCCAGGCAGGGACACGTAAGGAAGCAGCCCTCTGCCCCTTTCTCCTCACAGCCTCAGGGTTCTGTGGGCCTTCTGGAAAGGAGCCACCAAAAGTGTGTGCCCACCCCCGCTCCAGCTACCTAGTAAAAGGGGTGGCTGGCAGGCGGCGCCACCTTGTAGGAGGAGCACAAAGTAGCTGTCAGCACGATGTTCAAGACCACGTGTGGTATGTGAAGGGCGCTCTGGAGAGTCCATCCCCTGACCGCAGGAACTGGATGTTCAGACCTGTCCTGCCTTCTCAGAGCACGCTGCCGTGTAAGAGCACACTGTCTATATCATACAGTCCCATTCTGCCATTGGGGATTGCCCTAGGGGTAAGATTAGCAGGTACTATCATGTTTGTGGAGACAGGCTAGTGGGTTTCAAACACGTACAGAAAGGATGAAGTGAAAGAAGAGCGGGGCCCAGGGTTCTAGGCCCTCCACAGGAGTTTCTCATGTATTAATGCTTCCGCGTAGGATTTCATTTAGAATAAAGGAATGTTCCATTTATCAAAGTTTGAAAATCCCTAGAATCTATTATCTCTTAGCATTCCTTCTAAAATGCTGCAAGCAGCCTCCATTTTGATTTTGTAAGTGTTCTTAGATTATCTACTGAGAGTGTCTGCAGTCTTCCCAGTCAGACTGTGAGCAGAAAGGCAGCATGAAATAGTGGGGAGAACACAAGCCTAGGAATTAGGCACCTGGGTTCATATCCTGTGTCTGTCCCCTACTCAAATCCTGTTCAAGTGTCTATCTTCTTTGAACTTCCTTTTCTTCACCTGTAATATAAGGAGGTTAAATTCTAAAGTCCCTGCCAACACTCCTGTCCCATGATTTTGAGCTTCAGGTTTGAAGATTTTTCTCTCTTCCTATATGCCTGATACAGGGCTGTGCACATGCAGACCACTGGTACTCCAGACTAACTCAAAGAGAAATGCTGGAAAAGTCAGAAAGTGTTATGCAGCATGGCCAAATTCATAACAGCTCACAGAGCACAAACCGTGTGAGCAGGGCCCGGGGAGAAGGTGCTGATGGAGCATAATGCATGCATCTTGCTCAGCCGCTCCTGCCTGGGCTGTCACATCCAGCAGACAAAACTGGTTGCTGCAGGCAGCTGAGGCCCAGTTCCCAAAAGACATTTTGTGAGCTCAGAGAGAAAGAGCAAGACCTGGTTCCTGCATTTGTGGGGCTGGCCTCCCATACATCAGGACATCTAAAGCAATATAAACACAAAAGGTATAAAAGAAATAAACGTGCTGAAGAGATAGATCACATGGGCAAGCTATGATGGAACGGGTGATGTAACATCCTGTGAGTTGCATATGGAAAAACGGGACAGAAGTTACTATGATTCCGATAGAGAACATATTGGGAAATCATTCTACAAGGGCAGTTGTGGTAAAAACATGGGTGAGTGTGCACTGTGACTCCGTCTGCAGCCAACCTGCTTGGTGGTGTTCCCTCCCCCAAAACCCAGGAGACCTGGAAATGTGCAAAGTTTGGCTGCCGTATTCACATCTTATTTTCTCTTCCCCAGATACCACTTGAAAGATGTCATTGTAGGAAAGATCTACTTCCTCTTGGTGAGAATCAAAATCAAGCACATGGAGATAGATATCATCAAGCGGGAAACGACGGGCACAGGCCCCAATGTGTACCATGAGAACGACACGATAGCCAAGTACGAGATCATGGACGGGGCACCCGTGAGAGGTGGGCATGCTAGCACGCAGCCCGCGGCTGCCTCCCCCATCCCCCAAGGCCCCGCGCAGAGTTTCGGAGGGGCTCGAGGGGCTATACTGCTAAAGTAAGACTTCCTATTCACCTTCTCACTTTCTCATCCAAAATTGTTCACTGGGGACCCCAATAAACAGGAAAAGGAAGGCTGGGTATGTGGAACTCCAAGTTCCTTCCCCATCTTCACCCAGAAAAGCTTCACTTCGGCCTCACCTACATACTGAGCTTGTATTGGAGATTTCACCTCAAGAGTTAGGCCTCTTAAATAACAACAACAACAAAAGCTTGAAGAGTACTGGCTTAGCAGATACAGTTTGAACATTTTACTACTTTTTCCTATTGGCATTCTCTGCTGCTAGGGAGCAAGAGGTGAATGCAGAATAATCATTTGTGTTCCTCAGTTCTAGCTCTGGCAAAATGATTCATTCTCTGAATTCATTCACCAAGTGTAGATACTCTGGGCAGCACTTCTAGGTGCCACAGACAGCACTGGGAATGGGACAGAAGACAGCACCACCCTGTCCACCCCCAGAGCTGACATTACATCTGAAATGAATGGAGTGGAAAGCTTTGTTATTTGGGGAATCTGATTATTTGGGAGTAGCAGTCTTTTATGTTCTTTTGGCTCTGCAGCCACTGATCATGAAGAATGTATTTTTTCATTTAGAAGTGCTTGGTTACGCCAAGGTTTTATTCAGCTTATCCCCACGTGTGTGTTCCATGTGGAAGGAGGGGACAATGACAGCAGATTGAGTGTCACCATGCAGGTCCTTGGAGACAGGACTGAGCTCTCCTGACTCTCTGTATGTGCCATTTTTTCACCAGTTGTGCAAGTAGAGCCACTTGTCATTTTCTCTGAGAAATAAGACAAAACAGCAGATAATTAATGGCACATTTTATATTTAGCTTTAGACTACATTATAGGTTTGGCCTTTCTCAGTAGAATTACTGCCCTAATTTCATTTCACTTAAATTAGGAAAGGCAGGGTGTTAGAGCTGAAAGAGATCAAAAATACCATGTAGTCTGATCCCACAGTTTTCCACAAGAGAAAATTAAGGTCCAGAGAAAGCAATAGACTAACTCAGAAGTCATACAACTGGTTAATGGAGAACTAAGGCCATATTGAGGATTTTCTCTTTTCCAGACCACTATACCACCGTGCCAATCCATCTCAGAGTGGAGATGTATTTTGGGGGGCATACACTATTTAGGATGGAGGCAGGTGGCATCGAAATTGCTGGGTGACATGATGAGTTAGCTGGGGTTTGACAGTTGGCTTGTGAAAACCCAACGACTAGACACATTACATATCATCAAAAGATGCTTAGTAGTAGTATCCTGTGCTGTTCATACTCACGGGTTTCTGCATCGGGGCGGTGAGAGAAGACACAATGGGACCTGAAGTGGCACTGCAGAGTCACGTTTTGCTTCAGCAGATCACTGAGCCGCAGAATGCAATATTCCCACCAGGCAGAAGCATTCCCTTGAGTGTGCCATGACACGCTCAGGTGGCCTCTCCCCTGCTGTGGGCAGAGAGTGACTTGGTGTCAGGTTGGGTGGGCCACTTTCCCCTTCGCTCTGATACCTGCCTGGCCCTTACAGGAGAGTCCATTCCGATCCGGCTCTTCCTGGCGGGCTACGAGCTCACCCCCACCATGAGGGACATCAACAAGAAGTTCTCCGTGCGCTATTACCTCAATCTGGTGCTGATAGACGAAGAGGAACGGCGCTACTTCAAACAGCAGGTGAGTCCCGGGCACCTCCCCAAGACCCCTGGTGGCTCTAGAGCCAGAACAGGAAGGGCTTCATTCCTGCGAAGATCAGGTTCCATTTCAGACAGATTCAGCAGAACGGTACAGGGGAGAGAGTTTACTAGTCTCTATGCCACTTGTTGGTTCACCGAGAGGGAGTCCCACAGCAAGAATGGGGGTTCCCACTTGACACATTGAGTCTGCTTCCTCAGGCCCAGGCCCTGCGACCACTCTCCCCTCCCTGCCCACACCATCAGATGGAGCCCTGGGGTGGGATGGACAACTGCTGTCATCAGGGAGAGAGAAGCAGAGGAGGAAGTTGGGAGCCTCTGGGAACCCCCACCCCCATGCCTCCCTCTCAAGGTAGCATGTTGCCCCCCCCCCCCGTTCTGCAGGAAGTGGTGTTGTGGCGGAAAGGTGACATCGTACGGAAGAGCATGTCCCACCAGGCAGCCATCGCCTCACAACGCTTCGAGGGTACAGCCTCCCTGGGTGAGGTGCGGACCCCCAGCCAGCTGTCTGACAACAACAGCAGGCAGTAGGCCCCCAGAGCCAAGAAGCTGCTGGGCTTCCACCCCAGCACCCCCGTCTACCAAACACCAGCGGCTGGGGGAGGGGGAGGACAGTGTGATGCTCAACTGACCCGTAACTTGCAACCTGAAAACAAATCGTGTTTTGACTTAAATTCTTTTTTCTGAAGAACCTAAGGGGCTTGGGTTGGGAGGCAGTCTCCTTGAGATTCTGCGGCTGATGTGGGAATAGGGAGAGGTAGCATCCCGGTAGCTGGTCTCTCTGGGGAAAAGAGCCTTCTGTTGAGGCCTTCCGTGTGCGGCTGCCTTGCATTTTACAGGAGAGCAGAGAGCGGGCATCCGTGGCTCCTGGGTCTCTGAGCTTCCTGATACAGGATCTGAGCATGTCCCTGGGATTCTGAGCTGCCAGCAGGGCCCGGGGTAGTCACATCTTATTCTCTCCTCCACTGTCCCTACCCTACCCTAAATGGCAGGGGCGGGGGGAGACTCAAGATCAGGAAGCTACCTCTTTGGGAGTCTTGGATGTGGTGCTTTGAAGTTTCCACAAGCCACCTCCTTTCTGGCCTCTCACTGCTGGGACCCAGGCACCTCCCTTCTCCGTCTTCTACAGACTCTTAACCAGTAACGTCCTGGAACAGAAGCCTGTGGAAGGGCCTTTGGCTCTGGTCCCCTCACCTGTGAGAAATTCTGGGCACAGAGACAGCCTGGGGTCAGTGTCATGCGTGAATGGCAGCAGTGTCGAACACAGGAGGCTGGGCCGAGCGCACTGAGGAAGCAGTATGGTGACTGCTCCCCAGCCCCTGGGGCTGGATGGTTCTAGGGTATTGCTGTGTGGTACAGCAAGCCTAAACAAGGGCATCTGTTTCCCTTAAGAGATCCTGGGAAGGGGCCTTGATCTCTTTGCTTCCCTAAGAATAAATCCTCATCACTCCTTGTTCTCCTTCCATTTAGTTTCTGGGAGTTGGGGCTTGGAAATTTCTTACTGTTGCCCATGTCCTCTCCTCTCTGAGTTTCAGGAGGGAGATGAGAGCCTCAGCAGAAGACTCTGCTACACAACTTCAGAATAATTCTGCTTGCCAAATTATGTCTTCATCCTCACCAGTTGACTGACCAGAGTTTAGGACCATTGATGTTTTTGTTTAAAAACGTATATAAAAACTCTTGTGGGTATTCTTGTTATGCTAAAGGAGAAGGGGACATCCCTCTGTTGCACTGTGTGTGGGCCTATTGGAGTAAAGGTGTTGACATCCTTTTCTGCCTCATCTGGAAATGACCTGCGGGCCTCCCTTCCCTTCAGTCAGACCCCACTGGCCAATGAGTACAATATTCGGTGGTCCGAGTTGTCCGTAGTTGGGAAAGCAGAGGGGTTGGTTCCTGTTGTCATCCTTTAGTGTGGAAAATTCGCGCTCCTCTTTTCCTCAGCAATCAGTGCAGTCATGGGCCTCTGACTGGGCAGGGCTCCTGGGTCAGGACTGAGACTGGTGGAAAAGATACTGGGATGACACTTGAGGTTGACTGGGGACAGCAGGACCAAGGAAAGTAAGGTGGTTCCCCCCCATGCTGGACCCCGAGTACAGGTGCGACGGACAATCCCATGGGATCAGGATTACCCATCCAGCTGCCCCTGGATTACTTAATCAAGGTTGGGCCATAAGTGTATGGGGGAGGCAGGTTCTGTGTTCCTTGCCTTTTCCACAGGAGATTAAGCTCTGGGGGGCCTCCCAGAATAGCTGGTATTCTAACTAGAAAGGACCTGTTAATTCCTCTGCCTCCCAACTGACAACCCAAATTCATTTTCCAACTTTCCTAACATCTTAAACCTTTCCTCTGGGAGAACTAGAAGGTAGAATTTGATTTTATTCTCTCAGGAGCTGTGCATAAGCCAGGTCTTCTGTTTTCCCTCACTCTGCCCCCATTCACTCCTTGTCTGTGCAACTGTGGTGAGGGGAGGCCTCGCCCCCACCTTTACAGGTCCCCATACCTGGGAGTGCATAGGTACTAAACCAAGCAGTGCAACTTGTAATTAAGCAGCTGCAGCGTTTACATGTTTCTTAATGTGTCGTCTTTTCAATGGCTGTATTTTAAAAAAAAAAAGAAAACAAAAACACTTGTTTCAGTTGTCTCTGATTAAAGGAAGCCCCTGTGGCTTGGAGGCATTGTGTCCATGGTCCACCAGGGTCTGTGGTTTGTCTTACACTGTCCCACTCACACCCAAGGGGCGATAGACTCCCACCCTGATCCAGCACAACACCTGCCTTCACCATGGCTGTGGTCCCTGGTGAACAGTGATGTTTTATTAACACCCGTTTTATACAAGCACATGCTGAGAAAGGAATTCCAGTTGTACCCTCATCTGGCAACCTGTGCAGAAACTGCTGATGGTTTACACCCCTATGGGGCCCAGACGACTTCAGGAGCAGGTGTGGATGGCCGGTGTGGAAAGACAAAAGTTCGTTTCAGTAGGTGGTAACAGACTGAACCCTGCACCCTGGTATTTGCTACAGTAAAGAAGATGGTAGAGGTAAGCTTGCATCTTACCGAGTGGCAGAAGATCTCCAGTGGAGTATTCTATTCCAATGCCATTTTAAAAGAAAAGCTTCCCAAATTTGATATTAATGTTTTATTGGAAAAGGTACATGAAAACCACGCAAGGTGCCACACACCTTCGTTTGTCTTATAAAAGCTTGACTTCTTTGGAGTAATGGCTTGCCCATTCCAGCAACAGTGTCCCGGTTAACTTGGCTCCTTTTCTTCCAGGCTCAAAATAAAATCAAACTCCTCTACCAAAGAAGTGGAGAAGAAAGCAAAGTATTAGGTGTGTGTCTCCTCTTGAATAGGGAAGTTGTGCCGGGCATTTCACCCTGTTACTGAGGCAGGTAGTCATTCATCCAAAAACTATTTATGGAGTGTTTTACTATGTGCCAAGCACTGCTGGGTGGTGGGTACATAGTTAACGGGTAACTCCAGACATGTTTCCTCCCTCATGGATGTTACAGGTGAGGAGACAGGCTCAGAAAAGTTAAATACTGGGCCCAATAAATCACTAGTAAATGTTGAGTTCATGGAGTCCTCCTGGTATGTGGATAATATAAAGCAAAGGGCCCGCTCTTACCTCGAGTCAGGGGCTGAACTGAGAGTCTCTGGCGAGTGAAGAGAGCCATATTTTTTAAGGGGCCTCCAGTGGTTTTGTGAGCTTGGTAATGGGTTTTGAGCTCAGCCAGGGTGATGTAACGCTTCATCATCCGAACAAACTGTACATCCACCTATATGGCAGAAAGACATGTTCAGGTAGATTCTGTCCACTGTGTGTCTTAGCTTCTTGTGGGAGGTTCTTATGGGCAGGGCTGCCAGTGTTCTGTTCTTATCCCCAAAGCCAGGGTAACCTCATCTAAGTGTAAGAGCCAGACTCTGTACCTTGACCTAAAGACACCGCACACCTTCTTCCTCCCTCTCTTTGTCCATCCTTTTCCTCTCATGAAATAGGAAAAATAGTTGTCTTTACCATGGACCATTTGGGGTTGTCTTCTTTGCTGGATGGGTCATAATGGGGATTGTTTTTCTCAAACTGTGTGTGGTCTGGGTAAGCCTCCTTCACAATCTGAAACCAAAACCAAGTCTCTAATCATATGCCTGTACAGTCAGCTCCATGGCCAATTTTTAATTCAAGTCCAGCTTTCACTTCTGACCCTGCACATACTCAGCTCTTTTGTTTTGCTATAGAGCCACTATATCTGGAAATAATACACAGTCTAGAGCAAGCATAGGAAATCAAAGCTGTTTTGACAGAAATCTTAAAAGTAGGTTTTAAAACCAAGTATTAAAGGTTATTATTGGTACCACTGTTTTCCCACCTGCAGTTAATAACCTTTTCCTAATAACTTCTGGTTTGAAAGAGCTATCATCAGGTCTGCTTTTGAGTGAAAGACCAAGGCACAGAAATGAAGAGACGTCTGTACCAGTGGGACCTGAAATGAGGCCTGCCTTGTTATAGTCCTTGCTGGACTGGAAGGGGCCAGGGTGGTTTTTCCATATTCTTGTGACATCAGGGATGGGGAGGAGAGTACTTCCTTTTTGTTACTGATCTAAGCTGTGTTCCTTTATATCTGTATGAGTAAGTCTCCCTGAAGGGAGAGGGATTAAGACCAACGCTTGTACAACTAACCTTCACAAGTCCTGCGATGCCTGGCTCTTTGCAGTTGCTATGGTAGAAGAACGCTTCTTGCCCCAGCTGCATGGCTCGCAGGAAGTTCCGGGCCTACCCCAGGGGAAAATAAACAACTATCCTCTTCACCCGCTGGAAAACACTAGTTAGTGCAAATCAAGTCTGCTTCTATTAGATGAGTTTTTCTTTTTTGCAGCTTCTCCCCAATTCAATACTTGCCTTTGCCAAGACACCCAGACTTGTATGCAGACACTGACCAGAACACAGGCCATTCGTAAACTGCATACAGAGGAATTAAGGTGGTTTTGAATACATGTTTAGGGTTGGGATCTGGGGAAAAAACAATGCTGACCAAGAGATTTTGCTACTGAATAAGTCCCAGGAAGGAGGCAGGCATCTCTCCGACCCCAGGTCTCGGGCCCTGCTCTTACCCTCTTACCTGGTAGTTGCGAACACCATCCCAGCATGCTGTCTGCTTGGGCTGTGCTTTAAGATCCTCAATGCTGAACTAGGCAACAGGAAATGAATTCATCCATTAAACAGTCTTGGGGCCAGCTGGTAATATATGGAAGTAGACAGTTTCTTCCCCTGTGTTGAGGGTACTGCTTGCTGTAGTGGAAGTCTGTAGTTTACTGGGAAGTGGTTCCACAGAGCCACTTCTATTGGGCAAATGTAGAGTAAGCTTTGCGTTTCCTTGTTATCCTTGCTAATTAAAAGGACTAGATGAATAGATAATCCAGATGATAAAATAATCTGTTGGTTATTTGTATTTCACTCATTAAAGTATTATATATTTCTATCTTCTCTAGGCTGTTATTAAAATTGATTTATATTAATTCACTGAATATACGGTTGGCAGAGAGATACATAGGATTATGGTAGGTTTAGGTGGCAAGAACAAGGCAACAAGATTGAAATGTTGCCCAGGTCAGGGGTTGGCAAACTACAGCTTTGTGCCCATGCCTGATTTTGTAAATAGTTTTATTGGAGCACAACCACACCATCTGATTACATGTTGCCCAGAGCCACTTTCTTGCAGCAACAGAGCTGAAACAGCAACTGTAGGACCGGAAAACCTAAAATATTATCTGGCCTTTTATGGAAAAAGTTTGTCATGCCCTGCCCTACATAGAGGATTCACAAAACAGATAGTTGCTGGTAATAAGTCCTGCTGATTTTATTCCTTATAATCTTTTCCCTAACCCTACCCTTCAGAGAAGCTGGTGATGGAACCCTGTGGTGTCCCATATTCACTTCTTATCTGAAAAAACAGCCCGAAAGGGATTAAGAGAGGTACCTGGTCTCACCTTCACATCTACACCTTTCTCTAGTCGGCTTTCTGGCTCAGACTTCATCAGCCAGTAACTGCTTAGATTCTTCCCACAGTTTTTAGAGGCTGAAGTCTTCTCAGGGCTGGAGTTACCCAATGTAGCTGATGTACCTACTGGGTTCTTAGTCTTGGTACGTTTTCCTGCTGGCCCCTTATTGTCTGCAATAGAAGCAAAAAGAAGAAACTGGTCATGCCTGCTGAGAAGTAATGCTCCGTTGTGGAGAAAGCACATACTTTGGAGTCAGCCCTGGATCCAAATCGTGGATCTGTCAATAAGTGGCAGTAGCAGCTGAATTGCTGAACTTTAGTTTATCTATAAAAATGGGACAGGAATGCCCACCTTACAGGGTATCTCCTGGATTATACATTCAGTGAGATAAGAATAGTGTATGTGGTTGGGGGTTAGGACTGACAAGAGTCCCTGGTTTCTATTAAGTAAATTCTTTTCTTTCCCTCACTTCTGGGCCTTTGCTGAGGCTCTCTCTACAATAAGGAAACCGAGCACCTACTCCACAGACTTATTTTGAAGATTAAATAAGGTAGTGCAAACAATGGGCTTAAATAATGGCTGACGTTATAATAAATGCTCGGTAAATACTATCATCACCATCTCATGGTTCTTTTTTGCTTGCTCACTGTGCTTTGTGGCCTGCTCCTTGAAGATGCCAAGAAATGCTGGATAAGACAGCTCATATTGGACTTTGTAGACATGGCAAAGATGATTTTTTCCAAAGAGAATTAGAGAAAATGTGCCTGGAACGTAGTAGGCACTCAATAGCTAACAGTTGTTCAGTTCTTACTATGTAAGCTCTATTTGTTACCCTAACAGTAACTCAGTGAATCTACATAATGTATGAGATGTCTGTTCCTCTGCTAAATGTGTCCCAGGTTACACATTTCAGTAAACAGTATGATCAGGAACTGTACCCTGGTCTATCTGAATCCACACTTAATGACTATACCACACCACCTCTGAATTAAGTCCCAGCTCCTACATCAGCTCTCATTATCATTTATAGATGTCTAGTAGTTAGATCCTCCCTAGCCTAGTTTTTAGGTGGCTCCTTTGGAGTTAAGCACACTGCAAACACCATTATGTGTTGTTAAGTAACACAATGTGTTGTAGTCAATCCAAAACCACTTTCTCTACCTTCAATTGCTTTGTTCCTGTTCTTCATCTTCCATATAAGATGAATATAAAAACAGCATCGCATTTTCTTTGCCTGTGGAAAGCTTTCCCATTCTTTAAGGATGGACTCAAGTTCCACTTCCTTCTCAAGGTGTTCCTGCTCTCATACACTTAGCCATGGTTTCCTAAGACCCTTTCACTTATGTCTGCATTTTCCATGAGAACACAACTGTATGTTCCTTACCTTTGTACAAGCCACCACGTATCTACACCAAACAGCTACTGCTTCAATAAACAGAAGAGGCTCTGGGTATAAGCTCGGTGGGAGGAGGAAAGGAGAAGATGGAGGGCGATTAGGGATAACATTAACAAAAAACGATCCACAAAGGATTCCCCCCACAGGCAGGGAGTTGAAAGTGAACAGTATTTAAGATTTATTTATTAACTTGAGAGAGAAAGAGTGCGTGAGAGCCTGGGTATGAGCAGAGGGAGAGGGACGAGAAGCAGACTCCCCGCTGAGTATGGGGCGCAAGTGGGGCTCGATCCCACCCGAAGATCATAACCTGAGCGGAAAACCGGAGTCCCACGCTCAACCGACTGAGCCACCCAGGTGCCCTGAAAGTGAACAGTATTAAACAGATCCTAGAGAAACTTTCTTTACAGGGCTGCCTTTTTGCAGCCTGGGTGCAGCTCACCTGGCCCAGTAGGCCCAGCAGCCCCGGCGAGCCTCTTCCGGGGTTTCGGCATGGTTTCCCTGCGGGGACTGAAGAGCAGAAGATTCCAAATCAACCGAGAGAAACAAGACGCAGTTCTGTTGCCTGCCCCCAGACACCTGCGCAGAGCAAGATGGAGACAATGAGAGGAATCGGAGTCTCAGCCCCGAGGGACTTTTGCGTAAAACAGATGCAACTGGACTTGGGCCTCTCAAATCCATCCCAGTTATCTCCGCCCCCATTTCCATCTTGCATAACCTGCGCTAAAGTCTCCTCGGTTCTCTCCCTGATCCTTCTCTCATTCAGTCACCATTCTCCCAAGCCACTGATTCCACGATTCCGCAGGCAGAACCCCACCCAGGCGCCGAAAGGCCGGCACTGAGTCCCCCAGCCTAAGTAACACACGGCCCTTTTTCGCCACGGCCTTGGGGTATCTGGGAGTGGTAGTCCTGCTCCTCGGGCAGGCCCGCCTGAGTCCGGGCCGCGAGAGCCGCCGGATGCACTACAGCTCCCAGGGTGCACTGCGGGACCTGGACGGTGCACGGTGTCTGGTTGATGCACTGGCGCGGGTCACTGCCGGCTGGTTCTGGCTGGAGGAGGGGCTGCTAACATGTTGCGGAGCGGCTGCTGGCGGCTGAGAGGGTGGCTCTACTGCCCGCGCGGCGCTCTGCGGGTCCCCGCCAAGAGCGGCCGCCGGGGCTTGGTGTCCTGCATAGATCGTAAGACTCACCCCGCCGGTGCAGGTGTCCGGCCCCGGGCGGGGAGGGCTGAGCGCCCACAGAGCGCTGGTCACCCCCGGCTCGCCCTGAGCGGTCACCTGGGCCCCCCCCCCCCCAGCCCTACCTGCCCCCTCCTGAGTGGGCTTCCCCTGCTGGCTGGTCTCCCCATTCTGTCCACCTGGCTGGCTTCTCTGGCCGCCCTCACTCCCTGCGGTCTCCATCTGTTTCGCCCCTGGGCCTCTCTGGTACTCCTGCATCCGCCCCCAAACTTCTGGGCGGGAAGCCTGGCGGCCGAAACACGTGCTCCAGGCGGTCCTCCGCCTTTTTAGCTGTCTTCCCTCCTGCCCACGTCACAGGGTCCTCTCTGAAGATAAATGAAGATAGGAAAATGCAACTTAACCTTTGTTGCTGATGATATTTGTTAATTGTTCAGGTCTTCCAAAAACGTACTATCAGCCTCTTGATATCAGGTTTAATAAGTAAATTCATTTACTTATGAATACACTAACCAAGGGTTTTGTAATGATCCTCACAACTCTGAGGCAGATTCTCTTCTTATACCTACTTTCAAATAAGTAGTGGGTGCATAAAAACTCCTGGCTTTGTTTTGTTTTGTCTTGTCTTAATCCTAGATCATTTACAGTCGGGTAGTAAAGATGTAAATAGATTGGGGCTGGTTGTGGTAGATGAAGCACTGTTCCTTCTTTAAGTGATACAGGATTTGATCAGATAAATTTTGCGATTTACCACCTGTAGTTATAAAACACTTTTACTGTTGAAATTCCCGTTGAAAAATAATTATTATTGAAAGTGGGAAACTACCCACAGTTGACAGACCTGAATGTCTTCAGGCACCAAGCAAATAATTTGGATGCAAGTAACGGGGAGTGATGGGGGCCTAGGCCCACTGGGGATACCCGGCCACTGTGTGACTCTGTCCAGTGCCAAATAATTTTTCTTCTGAAAAAAAAATTCTTTTTAATAAATGTCGCTCTTCTTTATAACAGATTTGGTATGAATCTCTTAGATTGACACCCAGATCTATGACATACACTAGTATAGAACACCGTTTTCTTCTCCGTGTCCTAAAACTCCTTCACAAAGTGCTGCCCGTTCTAGCAATTAGAATTAGGTAAATGAGGTCACCCTTGCTGATACCAAGGCAAATAAGGAGTTGTCCTGGCAACAAATAGATTAAATATTTAATAGGCTAATATTAAATAATAACAGATAGGTTACATATGCTGGAGTATTTCCAGCAGCTGGTTGTGTAGCTTTGGCCAGTGAGGTACTTTTACATCTTTTTAAAAGAAAGTACCTCTTAATTAGTAAAATGAAAGGAAACTGCCTTTTCAATGTATCATTCTCCATATTACAATATCAAATTAATGGGAGTGATTAACATTTGTTTCATTGCATATTTTAATAAGTGAAAAATGATTTTTAAGATAATTATGATTTGTATTTTATATGTTGTACATATTCATTATGCATACTTCCCTCATTCTACAAATGAGGAAATTTATTCAGTGTCTAGTGCAGCCCCCTCATTTGACAATGGGATAACCGAAGTTGATTGAGGTACCTGACTTACTAAAAGTTGTACATTTAATAACATCCTTGTCTAGTGCTCTTCCACTACATTTTGCTGCAACATCCCAAGCATTCTTTGAAACATGAAGACTCTCAAATAAAACTGTTGATTCTCTAGTTAGGTTTCTACTTTGGATGCATTTAAAGATTCTTATATTATTTAGAGTTTTTGTTTTGTTTTTTGTTTTTTTTGCCCATTGCTTACACTTAGGTTGCTATACAGTGAAGGGTTTCCTCATCTCCTTTGGGCCCTTTTTCTTTTTTCTTTTCTTTTCTTTTCTTTTTTCTTTTCTTCTGAGACCGAGCGTGTGCATGTATAGGCATGTGGCGGGGGGGGCAGAGGGAGAGGGAGAGAGGGAAGCTTTTTTTATTTAAATTCAATTAACAAATAAGTTATTATTATTTTCATACATAGAGATCAGTGATACATCAGTCTTATATAACACCCAGTGCTCATTACATCACATGCCCTTCTTAATGTCCATCACCCAGGTACCCCATTCCCCCATCTCCCTCCCCTTCAGCAACCCTCAGTTTGTTTCCTGTGATTAAGAGTCTCTTATGGTTGGTCTCCCTCTTTGATTTCATCTTGTTTATTTTTTCCTGTCTTCCCCTATGATCCTTTGTTTTGTTTCTTAAAATCCACATATCAGTGAGATCATATGATAATTGTCTTTCTCTGATTGACTTAATTCACTTTGCATAATACCCTCTAGTTCCAACCACATTGTTGCAAATGGCAAGATTTCTTTTGTGTGTGTGTGGGTGTGTGTGTGTGGCTGAGTAGTATTCCATTGTTTATATATACACCACATATTCTTTATCCATTCATCTGTCGATGGACATCTGGGCTCTTTCCATAGTTTAGCTATTGTGGACATTGCTGCTATAAACATTGGGGTGCAGGTGCCCCTTCAGATCCCTACATTTGTATCTTTGGGGTAAATACTCAGTAGTGCAATTGCTGGGTCATAGGGTAGCTCTATTTTCAACTTTTTGAGGAACCTCCATACTGTTTACCAGAGTGGCTGCACCAGCTTGCATTCCCACCAACAGTGTAGGAGGGTTTCCCTTTCTCTGCATCCGGGAAAGAGAATCTTAAGCAAGCTCCACGTCCAGGACAGAACCCAACCCGGGCTGGATCTCATGACCCTGAGATCGTGACCTGAGCCGAAATCAAGAGTCAGATGCTTAATGGACAGAGCCACTCAGGAGCCTCAGGCCCTTTTTCTATTTAGCTTTACCACTTTACATTTTACTGTGTGTGTTGGCTTCTTGAACTCTTGCTAGTAACTCCGGCCAACTTTGTGAAGTCTGGTTTTTGTTTTGTTTGTTTTTAATGTATTCTGGGAATGCGGGTATTTTTACTTAGTTACCATGCTTTCTTGTATATAATTTGCTTCTTAACTTGCCTTTTCTACTTTTTTTCCACCAAGCAGTGCTCTCATTTTATTAGCATTCCCTTATCAAAAATTGGGTTGGATATTATATTTCAAAATGTGTAATTATGTTGTATATACTTGCACATAAGATTTGCATACATCTATTCCCTGTTGTTTACTTAGAATGCAATTCAAACCTATTTCTTAAACATTTTGTTTCTTGAACTACTTGTTTTACTCTAATAATAATAATAGTAAACGTTTGTTGAGCTCTTGCTGGGACTGAAATTCTGTAGCACCTCTCTTTATGCTGTAGGATTGACATTATTACCATTTATGATAGCCTTTGTGTGAATGGACTGTATTCATCTTTGTAACCCCAGCACTGTTCCATAGTAGACATTCAATAATTATTCTTTTGTGAATGGTCTTTGAGCTATGATCTATAAGAGCATTTTTGCAAGACTTCTGCAAACAAATAACCTGACTCTCAGTCAGGAACTGTGAAGTGTTCGTCCCTAACTGTATTCCTGTGAGTAATAACCAACATAAATTTCTGCTCTAGGCTTCTCAAAGTAGCCTAATGTCTAATCCTCACAAGTATTCCTTTCTGAGTTTCCTTAATACAGACAGACTGCTTTCTCCCTAATGCAGACAGACTGCTTTCTCCTGGAAGTAATAGCCAGCCATTACTGCTCCCCATGCTGCCTGCCCTAGAGAAACAGACTCTGCCATCTGCTCTTCTTCTCTATTGGAAGTATTGTGCATCACTATTAGGCGCTGAAATAAATTATTGTCGAGTGTGGCTCCATAGTCTTACTTTAACGCTCTTTAGCATCACTCCATAATGACCACATCTTTAGCACTAAAGGATGAAACCTGAGAAGGTAATACAGACCCCTGCCCTTCTTTCTGCCTTACCTTTTACAGCCACCGCTGTACCTCAGGGCTTCACTTGGAAAAGTATAGGCATACACTCTATTTTTTCTTACACACCTTCGGCAGGTGGTCCTTTCAAAATGACAGTAGTAAGAGACAACAAAAGAGACATAAATATGAACAATGTAAGTCTTGATTCACCCTGTGTAGGTTGCTGATCCTGATGTAGGCTCCCAGGATTTGTGGTCCCATCTTTTCTAAATTTGCTATACTATCCCAAAAAGGTGGTTGTTTTCACGGGAGCTTTGCCTGCTGCTACCTGGAAGTCTGTATCACTTTGCAAAATAGGCAAAATATTTTATACCTTACTTAACTAGCTAGTTGACTTGGATGTCTGCTTTCTAATTCAGTCTGATCTTACTCTATGCAGTTTTTTTAAAAATCTGTAAAAAGTGTTCATGTCATTTGGGCAACTGGCCACTTAAAGAAAATGTATGAAGTAATGATATTGTGAATTGATAGTAATTCTGTTTACGTTGGTAGATATAGTTCTCTTTCTCCTGAAGAGTGTCACCTCTGATTAAGTACTACTACGGTGTAGTCTTTTATTAGATGTTTAAGGTTCGAGAGAAACTTCTCCTAATGAGGCCATACTGCCTACCTGTTGATGTCAGTCAATTCATTGTCCTTAGCTTTTAAGTATCTTAAACCCAAAAGTGAAGAAATTACCCAAAGTCACATCACTGATGGTTTATGATAGAAAATGTTCTGAGAATTCTGAGTCCATTGGGTAAAAACCGATATAGTGAGGCCTTAACCATGTTTTCAACACTGGAAGACTTTTTTTTCATCATCAATGTTTATCAGCGAATGTCTGAGATTTGCCAAATGCACAGCCTTATTAGAGGATCTTTTCCTT